CAATGCCCTCTTAGGAAATTTTCAATATTCCTTACATTTGATGATATCATCAATCTACAAGCATAGTTGTCATCTATTATGTCAAATATTCATCTTCATGAATTCGAATTCTCAGCAGGTAGTTTGCTTCTTGATGAAATTCAATTGGTTCTTAGCCACTTACCTCATCTACAAACATTAGTTATGACAGATGTTCAATTGTATGATTTACATAAGACTATTATTATGAATTCTGATGTTACACAGTTCAGTTATTTAGCTTCACTTTCTTTGAACAGTTCTGAGTTAAAAATTGATAATGTTGAGATACTTCTATCATTTTTTTCTAGACTAGAGCATCTTCAATTAATCAACCATAGAGATTTCAGTGATCCATTATTCTTCGATGGTTCTCTATTGCAAAATTTCATTGAAACAAAACTACCTTTGTTGAAAAAATTCGAATTCTCTACGACGTGTTTCGATCGAACTAGATCAAATCTACTGTGAAGGCTCAAAATAGAACTTTCTCAAGTCCTTCCTTCTCCCTCCCCTCAGTGGTCACTCCAGTGACCAAATTACTCTGCAGCAAGGATAGAGTATTTGTTCGATCTGTTCGTAGTTTTGGCATATTCGAAGCGGCAATACTCTATTTCAACGGTTGTTTCATGCATAGCTGTTCTGGAACTGCTATGGGAAGTAAAGGGTTAATGTATTTGAAGAATGAATGATTTACCGGTTTCATAAATCATCACGATTGGAAAAAAAGCCAATGGAATCCTGTCACTTATGATGGCACATATTTTTTCGTAATTCTACAGAGTCAAGAATCTTTTCACATCAACTCGACAATCGTTTCATTGATTTTTAGAATCATCCGATGTCGAATATTTTCTTCTACAAAAACAAATTATAAAAGAAAAGAATCAGCAGGCATAATATTTCGAGACGTTCAATAGATTTTTTTCCTGAATGATGATAATAATTTATTGCGCATGTTCCACAATTAGATCATTGTAAGCAGGGTTGTCATCTCACCGCGTCATAATAACTATTAAATCGATCGACATTCAATTTCTAGAGGTATTATTTTCTTCCAAATTCATCAAATCTAAAATCATACAACTTCGTTTCTTTTTGAAACTGAGGTTTTCTAAGCAAAATCTAGAAAAAAACAACGATTGAAAAAACATGAATCATTTTAAACATCAGCAGAAAAAGTGATTAACTGGAAAGGAAACGGAATGATGTTTCTACGTTACCAGTGACAAATCGAACCAAACCTCTTACAGAATAAAGAATCGTGAAACAATCGCAGCTTCATTGAGTGAATAAATCACGCTAGTAGATGATAGACTCGAATGACTCCCAACAATCTGAAGATGTAAAGTGTGCATTGTCTAAATAACAAATATTGCGCAAAAATAAAGTTTATTTTTATGAAACAGGGAAAAAAAAGCAGAAGAAATGGCAACCCTGATTACAGGTTTCCTAAGGTTGTCGTATGAATTGTTAAATATATGTGACATAAATCGTTTCAGATTTTAATATTTATCTTATTCCATTCAGATGCATACGACTCGTCAAACTACGTTGTCACGCAATTAAATTTTCTGCTTTTGTTTTGAATTTTTATTATTGTAGTTCATTCAAGTTTTATTTTGTAGGTATTCATGTTTCTATGCGTCAGTTTCTATGGTTTACTTATATATTACCATGTTTTGCTCTATATTCTTGTGTTAGTTTATCATTAATGAAAGATTTTGAAAAATCGATACATACACATTGTAATGTTTCTAAGTTTCTTCCATCAATATCAGCATCAATTGGTGACTATGAACCTCAACGTTTTATATGGCGTTTATGTTTTGCTTTGGATAGTATTCCTCGTTATATCATTGCTTATTTACAATTAAATCATTTACTTAATCGTCATCATATTGATTATCCTGAATGTTATACATTAGTACAAATAACAAATAGTACTTTTCATTTTCTTGAATTAACATTTCTTCTTTTATTAACATATATATCATCAAATGAAATCAAATGGATACATGAATGTTCATTTGTTAGTTTTATAATATGTTCATTATTACATATGTTACTAACAATATTAATTGATTATTTTTGGCCAAGAATAATAAATATTTCTTTAAATACACAAGAAGGGTGTGGGTGTGGATGAAGAAAACAGACACACCCACACCCACACCCACCCACACCCTACCCCATACCCACACCCACACCCACCCTATACAACACGCAAGAGGTAATCAACAGAACATTCAGAGAATGCCATGTTCTATCAAGATTTTTCACAATAGCTTTAAATATTGTCAATAATTGGTTGATTGAACGAGATGTTATATCAATCCATGGAAAAATATTTGTTAGAAAAATCAACAATATCTTAGGGTGTAGTGTGGGAGTGGGTGTGGGTAAGAAGAAGACAAACACCCACACTCACCTTCAGTTAATGATTTTCTCGGTTTGTTTTTCTTATTTCTTATTGAAATATATTTAAACTATTTTTCGGTGAATGTCTTCTTAATATGACATATTTACCACTGGGTGCTAAATCATCAAACAATTTTAGAGTTGAAAATTCTAGTTGATTCAAAACATCGATCATTAAATTTATTTGTAAATAAGCGTGCGTATTGCTGCGCTGGTGATAATTTAATTTTTTTTAAAATCAATTTCGATTATTGATTTATTTAGATCGGTGGTCAATGATTGCTCCATTAAAAATTGGAGAAATTCGTGACTAGAACCCATCGGGTCCAAGAATTTCTGGACCTGGACCCGGTGAATTTAATTTTTCTGGATCCGAATCCGGACCCAATCGATCAAGATTTTCCGACTCGGACCTGACTGATCATTTTTTTGTGGGTCCGGACTTGAATCATACTCTTAGATTTCATTATATGCATCAAAAGTTTTTTTGATTCGGTCCTAATGAGCAAAAAATTTCAGACCCGGACCCGATGGGCTCTATTCGTGACACAACTCTATTAGGTGTAAGTTACAATCATAGATAAAATTAGATAAATGTCAAAATTCATGGTTTCTCTTTTGTTGCTTTTAATAGGATAAAGTTGAAGCTGAAAAAAATCCTGTTGGAAAATCACGTGAAGGACTGCAACCACTTGATCAACCAAAGTTTGTTTTACTCATTTAATTTATTTGAAAAAGAAATTTGATTCATTTCGATGTGTTGTTTAGTGTAATTTTAAATGGTCAATTATATTGACATAATGATATCGTTTATGTATACATATAATGCGCATTTAATTTCAACAACATATGTGAACCAAAAATGCAATAAACACA